GCACATAGTAATCAAATGAATGTCTAACATTTTAGCATTACAATAGTCATTGAAAGAAAATGCAAATCATTGAAAAAGGCCTGTATTTTTTTGGTGCGATTTCACGCTTATGATTTTGTACATTACAAGCCCTTGTACACTTCTTTGATTCCAGCCAAAGCCTTGAACAGTCTGAGTACCTGATAGCGACTATGCCTGTTAGTTGCCTACCCATAACCCTTCTTCCTTCTCCTTCAGGGATCAGACCCTGAGTAATGTGCCCAGCTGGCCAACTCCCTTTCCCAGCGCTCCTTGCATTCCGGAGCCAATGCAAAACAGGCACTTACTCTTCCTGTGGACGGCCTTGGTCTCTCCCCCTCCCATCGTTTCTCACCTGGAACTCCTTCAGGAATTTACCCACTCAGGATGGTGCGGCAGAGAGCAATGTCTCTTACCGTTTTATTTAGTGGGCATACCTGGCCCCGACTGCTTACTCCCTGTTCGTTTTACAAGAGTGAGAGAAAACTGTTCTGTGTAAACCACTACTATGTCAGTCCCTGTTTCAAGCATCCCCAATGCTGTTTTCAGAGACCCGTTTGATGTAGCTGGTGTACAAGAGATCTAAAATTCTCAGCCTTCTGCTTCATCTAATCTTGCTTTCTGGCCAATCTACCTTCTACAATCTATCTTCCTTGGATTTTCCCCCCACATATAACCTTCAAATTTCTAATATCTTCAAAATATGTCTATTTGGATGTTCCACAATTACTTTAAAATCTGAATTTATTTCTCTGATTGTATTGAGATACAATTTCCAAAATCTTTAAACAGATTTTCTCAATCAGTCAGGTTTAAAACTGTAAAGCAGATATATATATATATATATATATATATATATATATATATATATATATATATCTCAACTGAACAGAATTTTCATGTGCCAGCCCAGGAAACTGAACTTTTCATGAGATACCCAGGAGCTTGCCTGAGAATCTCCCATCATTTTAATCCCTTTGTCCCCTGCCCTTTATTCACTCCATCTCCCTGTCCCATGATATGAACTTTTGACCTCATTTCCTACCATTCCCCTCTCAGAGTCCCTTTACCATTCCTGACTGTCTGTTGCCCTGAGGCCTTTGCTCTGGCTGTTCCTTCTGCCTGAAATACCCTTCCCAGACTCCTCCAGGCTAACTCCTTCCCTTCCTCCAGCTTTTCAAAGCTGGCCAGCCTAACCAACCTACTGGAAACTGCAGGCCCTCCGCCAGCTTTCAGCATTTCATCTGCTCTTCGGTTTGTCCATAGCACTCACCACAGAACAAGCTCTGTAATTTGCTAACGGACTGTGTTTCCTTTGTCTCTCACTTCACTCCAATGCAAGCACCTCCAGGGATGGCCTTTCTGTGTTCTGCCCACTGGTGAAGAGCTCAGTAGCTATCTGTGGGCTGAGTTCATGAGCTCTGATTCCTCCCTTCCTCTTCTCACTGCTCCCCTCCCATACTCACCCTAGAGTTTATCGTTTTTAGACTTTTTTTTTTTTTTAATCAACAGAGTTTATCTATACTGTCATTTCCTCCAACCATCTAACACACATCCAGACTTAATCTTTCTAAAAACACTTCTCTGGGGATGGCACTCCGCTGTCATGATTGGGCTCCTAACCGGCCGTTAGAGATATTATATACTGGCGGCACGCTTGAATGAGACATTGAATCAGACAAGCTCGAAGATCCTCTTCAAACAGTTGATTCTACATCCAATGACTTATCTTGGCATCCAAAATGCTCTGTAATCAGCAGCACCTCCACGTACATCCTACGACTTCCAGGTTTCCCTCTGCTCCTGGCCAGCTTGCCTTAGAGCTCTCAAATACGCCATGTTCACTTTCACCATTTTTTTCCTTCATTGTGTTCCTCTACCAGTCACATGTGTCAAACACAAGGCCCGCGGGCCAAATCCGTCCCCCCAGGCCTTGCAATGTGGCCCGCACCGCGCTGTCATCACTGCACTCCACTGTGTTTCCATCACAATGACAGTTTATGACTGTTCAGTAAACCATTCGGCCCGCGATTTAGGCTGGTTTTTAGATTTTGGCCCCTTCTCTGATTGAGTTCGACACCCCTACTACCTACTTCCAACCCCCTCTCGGCCAGCCCGCCCCGCACAGCCCCTGCGCTTGTCAAGAACGCAGCAGTGCCCAGACCGGCTGGTGCAGAACCTGCCTCTCACCGGGTCCCTGGTGATGCCAGTGTGTCTTCAAAGCTCCGCTGTGTGAGCACTCCAGTCTCACCTCAGTGAAGTGTTTTCTCAGCGAGCCTCGTGCTCCTGTGTCCTGACCTTCCACGGGACCTACGTCACCCACAGCAAGCACAACGTTCCACTAACCACATCCCCTCGTGGGCTATTGAGGCCTTGTGTCATGTTAAGTCTTTTCTCCCCAACTTGATGGTAAATAAATTGTAGTTAAGTAGTGCAACTTACTTACCATCATAAGTAGTGCAACTTATTTACAAATAAGTAGTTCTGCATCTGGCCAATCGGGATGCAGGGAACGGAAACCCACTGGAGTTACTTCCAGGAAAAAGGAGCCTACCCAAGTGCTATTTGAGGAGAGAGGGAAGGATGGAGGAAGATGTTCCAGGCCTGGCCACACTCTCAGCATCCGTGTGTCTCTCTGCCCCATTCTCTTCATGCAATGCATCCTCTCCCCTATCTTCCTGTTCACTCCGTTTCTGCTTCCTCCTATGAGCAGCATTTGGGTGACCTACAACTGTCTCCCCTCCCAGCCTGCTCACCTCTGCCCCTTTCTGCTATAACGTTCACTCTAAGACTCTAGGCTTCTATCATTCTATGAGAGAGACATTCAGCACAGAGAGTCTGCAGCAGCCAAACCACCAGGTCACAAGTGTGGTGTGTGTCCGAGCCATTCATGGGTTGTCTGCCCTTGGGTCCAGAGCTTCCTCTGGCCCCATCCGCTGAGACCAAGGGGGCTGCAGTTCAGAACAAGGCCCTTCAGGCAGTGGGAGCTCTCAGAGGAGAATTTTTCCTTAGGAAAGAAGCGTGTGGGCAGAGCAGGCAATGAGCCACATCACCGGCCCACAGAGTCATTACTTACGTTGTCCTCACCACAGCCTAGAGCGAAATGCTCAGCACATAATAAACGGAAACTGGCCAACATGGGAGGGGAGGGTCATTCACCAAGTGCCACCAGGCCCCTGGCGCTGTGGGGGCACACAGGGACCACGAAGATTATATAAGAAGCGTTTCCCCAGAGCTCGTCATCCAGAGGCTCCACTGTACGCACTCCTTGACCTTGTGCAAGTGCCCAACCACCTGGGCCACAGTTTCCTCACCTCCAGGCATGTTGCAAGGCCCTGGAAGGTAACCTATATGATCACCTTTGCAACACACACGTGAATCACAAACAACACTGTGACTTTGCAATCGTCTTAAAACCCACAGGTGTTGCCTTGTTTTCGGGTCTTTTCTCTCATTATAGGGAATTATGATTAGGTGAAAGAACAATCCCAACTGCTACCACTATATTTCCAACACCTGCAATGGTTCGCTCAACTGGCAATCAGGAAGATCAACTCATGTCACTCAGAAATATATTAAGAAAGGAATGAAAACGTGTTTTACTGTGTACATTTTATAACACTACCCTCTATTCCACGGTGCATCTAAAAGTGTCTTGCATATATATATTTTTTTCATTGTATTACACGTAATAGTAAGTATGTATTCAATTCTTATGCAGGACACAGGTCCGTTGTGAATCTCGCGTGGCTTTCTCTCAGAGCAGTTTTATTTAGTATTTCCCAAGCAAGGTAAACAGGAAATCACGACATCAGAGTCCCGTGCTTCCATTTCTAACATGGGGGCCACCAAGGAAGAAAAGTGATACCATGGCCTGCCTCAACCTCCTGGAATCCTATCCTAACTTTTTTCCCCCCTAAAAACCACTTTACCACCTGCTTCTCGTTAGAGCGGGGTGTGGGGAAGGATGGGAATCAGTGATGAAGGCAAGATAAGCTCATTCTCAAAAACATGTCATTCCGCCCTTTGCAGGATCCAGGTACGGGTTTAATGGAAGAGAAAAAAACAATAGAAAAAATATGTATGCTCTCGGCTTTATCGTGAGCCAAACCAAGGACCATTCACGGGCTGCCTCGTGCGAGGCAGGATGCTGAGGGCTCCTGAGACAAGATGGAGAGTGCCTCGGCCCTTGGGCATCTGTTGCTCATGGCTGACAAGTGTATCCATTCAACAGCTGGCCCTGGGTGGAGCAAAGAAAACACACCTTCCACCTGGCTGAGAAGTCTGTTCAGCTAGCCACAGGGCAGGCGTCAGGCAAAAGGAAAAACGAAACAAAACAAAAAAACAACCGCAAAGCTCAGCAGGGAGCCGGGCGACTCTCCACTGCAGGAGGCAGGATTGCAGAGACATCGCCGCGCACAGTCCCCGCGGAGCACCCAAACCCAATGCAGGCTCCTCCTGCGAGAGGCTAGGGGCTTGGATCAAAGGCTCCTGCCTGCAGCCCGGGCAAGGCAAACCTGCTTCTGCTCCGGGAGCTGTGCCTTGTGGGGAGCCAAAGGGTGGGCGGCGGGTTCGGGCTCTGTTCGCTCTGGTGGGGAAGCCGAGTGGAGAAGACGCGGAGGTCTGTGAGCGAGTTGGAGAGGGAGGTGGGTTGGGCAGGAGCATCGGTGACAGCGACCAAATAAATGATCCAAATAAATGATCGCGCAGCCGGTGCAAAGCAAGCCTCGGGCTCAGGATCTGGGGAGGGGTCCGCAAGTGCATGGGAGACGCCGCAGGAACCGGGGAAGAGGTGGGACAGGCATCTCCATCCACGCACGCGCGCACACGCATACACATGCACATGCACATGCACACGCACACACACACACACACACACACACACACACACACACGCATGCACAGGACCCCGGGCTGGCCCAGAGCCGCCCCTAACCCCGCACGTTCCGTGCACAGTCCCCATTGCTGCGGTAGCCACTCACCCTCCGCCCGGGAGCGGATCTCCGACACGGTCCTCCGCATGGTGGACATCGCGGCGCCCCCCGCGCAGGTGGGTCTGCAGCCGGGACCCTGCACCTGTCACCGCGCCGCGCAGGCCGGACTCCGGGCGGAGCCGCTGCGCCGAGCGCTCAGCGGCCGCGCGGGCCCCGCCGCCCGCCCACCCAGCGCCGCGCAGCAGCCGCGGGGCTCGGTCCCCGCACGCCGGCGGCAGGAGCGAGAGGCGACGCGGGTGGCGGCGGCCGCAGAGCCGGGCGAGCGAGCTCTCCCCGCAGGCGCGCGGGGGGCGGAGGGGGGCGGCGGGACGAGGGGCGGAGCCGGGGAGTCGAGGGGGCGGGGTCTCCGGGACGCGCGCTCATTGGCTGCGGCGGCGGCTTAGCGAGCGAGGCGGGAACGGGACCCGAAGCCCCTGGAGTCCCGCCCCTCTTCGGACCGTACCATCCTCGCGGGGGGAGGTTTGTCAGCTACAGCCTCCCCCTGACCCGGCCATCGCTTCGCCCTGGCCGTGGCTTCGCTCATCCCCGTCTTTTTCCGACGCCTTAGTGACTCTCTCAAGTCCTGGCCAGGGGAGAATGGGGGCCTGTGGCTCCTACACCCTGGACTCGCCTCTCCCACACCCCCTGGATGTTAGAAGCAATGGAGTCGCCCGTGGTCTGAAAAGTGGGGCTGGGTCTGAGTGGGCAGGCGAGGGCCGAGAGGGGCTTGATCGGTGCGGTGTGGAGTCCTGGCGCGCTCACAGGGGAAGGGGGCTGCGAGTTCCCCGCGGGGGTGGGATTCCAACCTCTCTGCCCGGAGGGACCATCTCAGCCCGAGATGCACTTGCGTCCCTGCCCGGGCCGCGAGCAACAGGCTCCGAGGCCGAGTCCCGCGTTGCTTGTGTGCGCCTGGGGCTGACCTTCGGGTGGGCTGGGCACGGCCCACCCAGCGCGAGCTCTGCAGCCTGACAAAGCTGTGCATGGCAACAAAACCAGCTATGGAGTGAAGCGGTGAAACGAGGACTTGTTCGGGTTTTTTTGCTTTTAGGGAAACTTGCAGGAAGTTGGGTGCAGTGTATTCACTGAAAGAGGAGAGGGGGTCCTAGTCTAATATCCATAAACATATTAAATCTTAATGTGACCAGTATCCTAGAAATCGTTGTAACCTCAACCTTTTATTTTGTACACAAGTTATCAAAAGAAGAACGGTATGTTTATTTTGTTGCTGGTTTCATCTTTAAGTTAGAAGGTATGGTACTATCGATATATAGATCCTGGTGAACTGCTGAAACAGCAGGAAAGGAATAAATTAAATTAGGAGCAGTGGCCCTCATCTTGGGCTCTTCCGCCAGCCCTGGATGGAAGAGGGCCCCTATGGAGACCTTTTAAGTGAACTGCTTTCAGATCCTGAAGGGAGAGGTCTGGAGAGGTTTGACCAGAGGAGATAAGTGATTATTCTCAGCCCTCAATAAAAAAAAAGAGATAAAATCTGCTAACAGCATCTTATCTCCATTTGTGGTATGTCCTGTGCCTCCTGCAGGTAGCATTTGCTAATCAGAGCCCTGTCCTACATTAATCCTGAGTCAGGCAATCAATGCATATTTATGAAAAACCCACTCTGCCAGGCCCTGACTCAGAGGCTGGGATTAGATTAGAACAACAACAGAATAATGCGTTTCCAGAGTTGAGGGAACCTCACAGCGCAGATAGAGCAGGGCTCAAGGCAAATGTGTTTGCTTCAGGGATGGCCGTGATGTACAAATAGGTTCTTCTAAAAGTAGGAGATGAGTACACAGCTTTTTTTTAGGACTGTCATCCCAGGTGGTTTTTATTCCTTCCAGATCAAGCACCTGCCTGTATGAAGCAGACTTCCTCTGGCTTGATGAATGTGAGTCTGAAACAAAATTCAAAGGGCAAATAGAAAAAAAATCAGCTTCAAAAGTCAGGGAATAGAAACCAGAGAAAATGCAGTGCTCTTATGATTAATATTTTAGGTGTAATTTATAGAAAGCCAGAGCCAGTTTTTATTCAAAATCAGTGCACAGTTGCATGGCAGTATTCGATTTATGAGCAATCACTTTTGCAATTTCCCATTGTGCCCTCAAAGGAAGTTCAATTCTGCTTATTTAGTAGTAATTATTTTTTGAAGGGAGCTCCAGAGATTACCCGTTTTCTATAGAGCAATCTGTTGTCTATATGCCTATGTGTGTGTGTGTCTCGCTGACAACCCATCAGCGAAGGTGACAGCATAGGTCATCCATACAGGAAAGGACAGCAACAGCAGTCTTTCATACACGGAAGAACGTTGCATGATGTAGCCTGTAGCTTACTGTGCATCTTCTTCCAGATCATTCTGTCACCATATCCATAATGGTAGCAGTGTCCCAAGTAACTCATTTATGAAAAACTACTTATTCCTCATTGCTAGAAATCACACATTTTGTTGTTGTTGTTAATCCTCACAAAGACACATCAATTGGTTGCCTCCTGACCAGAGTTAGGATCGAACCTGCAACCACGAACATGCCCTTGACTGTGAATCGGACCTGTGACCCTTCTGCGCATGGCCCCACACTCTAACCACTGAACCATATCGGCCAGGCCCACATGCAATTTTATTGGTTCAGAAACCTCATTGAGGTTGAGTGTGGCTCTGATCTGTTTCTATTTGATTTCAAAGTCCTCTCAGATCTCATCTCTCATTGTTGTAAGAAGCACTCTGAGCCAGCCCCTGGCAGAGAACTCCAGTTCCAGAAACCTGAGCTTGTCATAGAATCTGTAGTACAATTCAGACGTCAGCCAGATCATTTAAAAACTCTCAGGTCCTATGACTCCCCTTGCTGATGGACTTAGAGGAAGAGGGCTATTCAGTGACAGCTTCTCCCAGGACCGGGATTTATCATCCTCTACAAAATATACCCTGAACGCATAGCATGTGTGAGGTGCTGTGCCGGAGGGTTAGGTTACAAAGACACCTAACGCACCTGTGAAAGTGAACCAGCGATGGAACTGGATGGCCGGCGCTCAATGCCCAATGGATAAGCAGCAATGATTATAAACAATGAGAGGAGGGGCAATCCAACAGCGGGGTGATCAACATAGTTGAGCTAGGTCTTTAAGTAGGGGTTGGGCTTAGACGTGAACCATTGATGGTTCCAGATATTAATAGTTGGTATATACTATATAATCAATAATAGTTTAACAAATATTAAAGGTAAATGGAAGGATAAAAAAGCAAATATGTTTGTGGAGGACAAAGAGACCGATTTGACTGCAACAAAGATGATTTGTACCCTTCACATGGGTCAATTGTATGTTACGTGAATTGTACCTTAAAGCTGTTTAAGAAAAAGATCTCCAGAGGAGTCAGGCACAAAATTATCAAGTCCAGAAAGTGAAGAAGAGAGGCAGGGGTATGCCTATCCTGCTGGATTTTCACCTGATGTTGCCTGAGTCCGTTTTTGTTTGGGGCCACCAAGGATTACCGTTAAGAATTGGTGTCTTTGGGTAGGAACTCATAGGCAAGTAGGCGAGAGAGGCATGCTCACTAAATCACTAACTGATAATACAGACAGAAGTCCTTTGGAAACATGTGGTCTGGGCTATAGAGACGTGAGACATGCCTGAGAGCCCTGCTTCTGACTGGGGCTGCGGCACAGAAAGCTGATTACCACACCAGCATAAAATACACGCTGAGCCGTGGCGGCACGAGAGCTTCCATTCTTTTGCAGACGCACAATATAATTAGATCAATTAATCTTGAATTTTAGATCATGAAATCTTTTAGTTTAAAATTGAGGTGAAGCTATAACACAAAATTCCATCAGATCACCAAGCTACCTGGTGACTATAAGAAAAGGTTCTTACTACCTTTGGTGCATAGTTGGTGTTATATTGATTCAATGGATTAGTGTATTGATGAGGTATCTTACCTAGTAATAGACAACCATGTAAATTGACCTAACCTCTGCTATGCCACCAGCCAATAAAAAGTGATATGCAAATTAACCCAACAAAAATGGGAGTTAATTTGCATACTCAACCGATGAGTGACAGGAGCAGAGATAAAGGCCTTCTGCCCCACCCCCAGTCTCTCAGGGCCTCTGGAGAGGCTGGAGCAGAAAGAGGTGGCTTCCGGGCCTGAGTGGAAAGGGGCTGGGCTGGAGTGAAAAGATGGTTCAGGCAGCCAGGGAAAGGAAAGCCCATTCTAGCACGAATCTTTGTGCATCGGGCTTCTAGTATTATTATACTTGTGAGGTTTCCTTTCTGTCACCATTCTTTGCATGTGTTGCTAAGACATCAGCAAGTTCTTTAGACTCTTGTTTCCACAGTATATCTTAAGTCTCTTCATCTCCACCTCTACCCCTCTTGTACAAGCCCCATCACCACTCACCTGCAATAGCCTCCTAACTGATTGCTTTTATTCTATTCACATTACAGGAGCCATAGTTACTATTTGAAAACACAAATCCATTTATGTTCCTTTTTTTTTTTTTAATGTTCTTTATTGTTCAAAGTATTACAGATACCCTCTCTTTCCCCCACATTGGTTCCCTCCAGCCTGTATCCATCCCTCCCAGGTCTTCACCACACTATTGTCTGTGTCCCTGGGCCATGCATATATGTATACAAATTCTTTGGTTAATCCCTCCCCCCTACCCATACCTTCCCTCTGAGCTCCGTCTTCTGAATCTCTGGATCCATTTTGTTCATCAGTTTATTTTGTTCATTAGATTCCACATATGAGTGAGATCGTGTGATACTTGTCTTTCTCTGACTGGCTTATTGTGCTTGGCATGATACTCTGCAGGTCTCTCCATGCTGTCCCAAGGGTAAGAAGCCCTCCTTTTTTATTTTTATTTTATTTTTATTTTTTATAGCTGCCTAGTATTCCCATAGCACTTGGAATTAAACCCAAACCTTTTATGATCTTGTCCTTGACTGCCTCTCGGACTCATCTCTGTCTACTCCCTCATTTGGTCATGGGCTCAGATTGCTCCAGCCTACCTGAGCTAACATTGCCTCACTTCCCCCAATTCCAGCCAATGCCAGATTGCCTTGTTCTGTTTTTCTCATGGTACTTATCTCTAGCTGAAGTTTTCTTGTTTGTTTACCTGATTATGATACAGGTCTTGCTATATTTACTAATTACAATTTGTCTATTTTTAAAAACAGTGTCTGCTCTATACACAAAATCAATAAATATTTGTTGAATGAACAAACTGAAAAAATGTGTGTACTGTAAATGATCTGGTTCCCTAAGGTTGGAGACTGGAAATAAAAACAGAAAAATAGGTAGCATTCTATTTGAAGAGATAT